GGAAATGCCAAGACTGTGAGGAATGACAACTCCTCACGCTTTGTAAGTTGCTGCTTAGGACAAAAACTTTCACAGAATCACAGCATGGTTGAGGTGGGAAGGTGTGTTTGGAGGTGATCTGCTCCAACCTCCCTACTCAAGAGAACATACCCAGAGCAGGCTGTCCTGCAGCACGTCCTGGCAGCTTTTGAAGATCTCTAAGGAAGGAGATTCCACAGACTCTCTGTGCAATCTGTGTCAGCCATCAGCACAGTAAAGATGGAACTCTTGTGTTCCAAGTGTGTTTGTTTTTTTTCTCCTACTGTGTTTTGCCGTATCAGTAGGCAAGACTGGAAAGAGCCTGACTCTGACCTGTTTGCACCTTCCCTTGAGGCATTTCTAGACACTGAAAAGATGCCTCTGACATTTCTCTGTTATTTCTGTGCCTTCCCTCACAGAAATGGTGTTTCAGTCCTTTATTCTCCTTGCTTTATACAGGAGCAGTGAAATGTATCCAGGCTGAAATTGTTCTTTTCCCCCTCAACAGGGTAAATTCATCAGAATCCACTTTGGGGCCACAGGCAAACTGGCTTCTGCTGACATTGAAACTTGTAAGAGATGCTCCTGGCCTGCTCACATTCCTTCCCAAATTCCCATCTCCATGTCCTGTCTTGTACCTAACCCTTCCTTCCTTCTCAGATCTGCTGGAGAAGTCCAGAGTCACTTTCCAGCTCCCAGCAGAGAGAAGCTACCACATCTTTTATCAGATCACGTCCAACAAGAAACCAGAGCTAATAGGTAGGAAGGATCATTACATCTTTTTGGAGATGATCACTAAGCAACTGTTTCCTTTTCTGCCCTTTTGAAAATGTAAGCCTGTATCTTTGCTATTCAGACATGCTCCTTATTACCACCAACCCATACGATTTCCATTATGTGAGTCAAGGCGAGATTACTGTTCCCAGCATTGATGACCAAGAAGAGCTTATGGCTACAGATGTGAGTAACACAGCACAAAGATCTGCATTCTATGCCTTGCAGGGTGGCTTACTAAAGACGTATTTTACTTGACTATTTCCACTGCAGAGTGCCATTGACATCCTGGGCTTCACTGCTGATGAAAAGACTGCCATCTACAAGCTGACAGGGGCTGTCATGCACTATGGGAACTTGAAGTTCAAGCAGAAACAGCGAGAGGAGCAGGCAGAGCCAGATGGCACAGAAGGTATCACCTAGTTCAGCTAGTAAAAATGATGAAAAGCTTCTTTGTTCGTTGTCTGTTTAACTGTATCCTTGATCACAAGAAATGCTATTCTTTTATCCAGTGGATGCTTCTCAAAAACACACAGCCTGAAAATGGGAACTTTAACTAAGGGTCTCTGTTAGAAAAACCTTCAAGCACTATAACTGTTTGTTGTTGTTGTTGCTGTTGTTGTTTCTGCAATCTGTCCTGCATTTCTTGCTTTGCAGAAAGTCTGTTTCCTCAGAACAGGAGTGGGCAGCAATCATGCCTAATATGATATCAGAGGGCTTAGGAGTGGTTCTGGGAGCTTCCAGATTCAAGCTTTCCCTATTCATACAATGCCTGTTCTTGCTTTTAAAACAGGCGAGCATTAGCTTCCATAATCTTCACTCCTTCCCATAACTTATCACAGAATTATAAAGGTTGGATGGGACCTCTGGAGATCATCTAGTCTAACCCTATGCTAAAGCATGTTCCCTATGTTACTTACACAGGAAAGCTTCCAGGCAGGTTTTGAATATCTCCAGAGGAGACTCCACCACCTCTCTGGGCAGCCTGTTCCAGTGCTCTGTAACCCTCAAAGTAATTTTTTTTTTCTCATGTAAATATGGAACTTCCTATGTTCCAGTTTTGTCTGTGGCTTCTTGTTGTGTTGCTGGACACCACTGCTTGACTCCCACTCAGTAGATATTTATAAGCACTGATAAAATCCCCTCTCAGTCTTCTCTTCTCCAGGTTGAGCCAGTCAGAGCATACCAATAACTTCCCATTTCTGAAAAATGAAGAGCAGATTTGCTCACACAGACCAAATTCTAGCCACTGACCAATGATGAATGTTCCCCTCTTTCTTACTTTCTCCCTTTCTAGTGGCTGATAAGGCTGCCTACCTCATGGGCCTGAACTCAGCTGAATTGCTCAAAGCCCTGTGTTATCCTCGAGTTAAGGTTGGGAATGAATTCGTGACCAAAGGTCAAACTGTGTCACAGGTATAATCTTAAGTATAAAACTATATGATCTGAAGAATAATGTGAGTATTCTTCTTCTGCAACAGAAGGTAACTCCAGTTCTTTAATCTCTGTTCTAGGTGCACAACTCAGTTGGTGCTCTGGCAAAGGCTGTCTATGAGAAGATGTTCTTGTGGATGGTTATTCGCATCAACCAGCAGCTGGATACCAAGCAGCCCAGGCAGTACTTCATTGGTGTCCTGGACATCGCTGGCTTTGAGATCTTTGATGTAAGGAACAAAACTTGGCATCATAGTTATGAGAGGGGCAGAAAGAGATCTTGAGAACTCAGAAACACATTTCTTCTTAAGAAGATTCTGAAGTGTATGCTCCTAATCTGCTGGTTTTGAGATAATCATGTCTCTTTATCACAGTAGAATGCTTAAATTGCTTTATGAGCACACACTTTGACTCTTAATATTGTCAACAGGTAGAAAAAAACACCGTTTTGACAGACAAATTTAGACACCGTTGATTGGGAAAAGAGCTCACACAGATGTGGACCAGGGATTTGAACAGTCTTGGAAGAGCCAAGGAAAGGGAAATGCTGTGATATATGAAATAGAGCATATTTCCTGTGTTGTGAAAGCAGTGGTGCTAATAGGACTTCTGTGTCAAAACAAAGAAAACTAGATTCGTGATTTGAGGGCAGAGAAATTCTGGTGGATACTGAGGAAGCCTCCATTTTCCCAGAAGTTAGAGATCTGACACACCTCCATGGTGCAGCAACTGAGGTTCCTGAAACATCAATCTTTGAATAGCACAGTAAAAAATAAATTTTACTTGCAGATTGATTTCAAAAATAGTGCTAATAAAGCCCTGCAAGGATGGTACATTTTTTCTATAGTAGGAATCCTTCTAAGAAATTAGATGTAATTACTGTATTGCTAGGTTTGGTGGTTCAGTTGGGGAATTTCAAACAGAATCAGAAGTATACTAACACAACTCTGTGATCATTGCTGCCTCTTTGAGAACCTGTGCACTTCTCTTTGCTTTAAACAGTTCAACAGCTTTGAGCAGCTGTGCATCAACTTCACCAATGAGAAACTGCAACAGTTCTTCAACCACCACATGTTCGTGCTGGAACAGGAGGAGTACAAGAAGGAAGGCATTGAATGGGAATTCATTGACTTTGGGATGGACCTGGCTGCCTGCATTGAGCTCATTGAAAAGGTACTTTTTCCATTTAAGTGTATGATGTATTCTGGAATTTTGTGATGTTTCTCAGTTAGATTCAGCTAGGAGAGAAATTGCAGCCGGACAGCCAGTTTCAGTGAAACAAGACATTTTGTGGAAATAATACTTTAGTCCAGTGCTGAGGAATTAGTACAGCTAAATGGAAATCTGTATCACCAATCTTGCATCACTGTGTCTTCAAGCATGGAAAAGGTAGTCTAGACTCCCACGAACAGAATTCTTTAAAAACAACTAAAGTCACTTTACATTTTCTCTGAAGATGCAAAATCAAAACTCCACACACATTGTTTAGGAAATAAATATGGCATGCCCCAATTTTCCAAGACAATCTGCATCTTGTAGCTATTTTCCCAATTGTATTTGTCTGCCACTTCTCCTGGTTCTACAGCCAATTTTAACCTGAAGTGGTGAGACATTCTTACCAGTTCAGAGAAGACAGACTGCTGAAAGGTAAGGAAAGACAAGAGAATTCTTGACAAACTTAGCCTCTTATTCAGGCAGAGATGCTACCAGCAATACACAGGTACCTCTGAATCTCATAGCACACGCTTCACACTAAGGTGATCTTTCTCTGTTACTTCTTGTGCTATCTTCCAGCCCATGGGCATCTTCTCCATCCTGGAAGAGGAGTGCATGTTCCCCAAGGCAACTGACACCTCTTTCAAGAACAAGCTCTATGACCAGCATCTGGGCAAGTCCAGCAACTTCCAGAAGCCCAAGCCTGCCAAAGGCAAGGCTGA